GAGACCATTCCTTGCAAGGAAACCTCCAAAGATATTTGGGAGTCCATGAAGAAGAAATGCCAGGGAAATGCGAAGACAAAGAAGTTGCAACTTCAAGCTCTTCGCTCGGAGTATGAATTACTTCGAATGAAGGATGGTGAAAAATTTGCAGAGTATTACTCAAGGACTATGACAATAGTCAACAAGATGCGGTGTTACGGTGAAGAGTTACAAGATGGAACCGTTGTTCAAAAGATACTACGGTCAATGACGGCAAAATACAACTATGTTGTATGTTCGATTGAAGAGGCGAATGACACTGATGAAATGTCACTTGATGATTTGGAAAGCTCCGTCCTGGCTCATGAAAAGAAGCTGATTTCACAGGACAATGAAAGTGAGCAGGCTTTGAAGGCCTCTGTAAATCACCATTCCTCATCAGGAAACAGAGGTGGTCGGGGCAGGGGTCATGGGAGAGGAAGAGGAAGCAACCACCAAAGCCAAAATCAGCCCAATCAGTTCCAAGGAAGAGGAGGAGAACGAGGAGGTCACCACTCAACTAAATCAAGGTCAGTAGACAAATCAAATGTTGAGTGCTTCCGTTGCCACAAGTATGGTCACTACCGGAATGAGTGTTACACTAATTTGAAGGGGCAAAATGAAGAAAAAACTCATTTTGCTGAAAAGGAAGAAGAGATATCACTGTTGATGGCTTGCAGCATTAGCGAACCAGCTCAAAAGAACAAGTGGTATTTGGATTCTGGGTGCAGCAACCATATGTGTGGAGATAAGAATGTTTTTACCACTCTTGACGAGTCATTTCGCAACACTGTCAAGTTTGGTGATAACTCTACTGTTTCAGTTATGGGAAAGGGAACAGTCAGTCACCAAGCCAAAGATAACTCCACCCACATCATCTTGGATGTTCTTTTTGTTCCAGATTTGAAGGCCAATCTGCTCAGTATTGGTCAACTTCAAGAAAAGGGATATGAAGTTTCTATAAAGGATGGAGTGTGTCGTATTCGAGATGCAAAGTTGGGTTTGATTGCTCAAGTCAAAATGACGGAGAATCGTATGTTTCCACTTTATCTTCAACCTACCAGTCATGCGTGTTTCACAGCAAGGCTAAAAGACGACATGTGGCTGTGGCACTTTCGCTATGGGCACCTAAACTTTGGTGGACTAAAGACTTTGCAGCAGAAAAATATGGTGTCTGGTCTCCCTCAAATCACCGTTCCCTCTCAAGTCTGTGAAGAGTGTGTTGTTAGAAAACAACACCGTAATCAATTTCCAAAAAGAGCATCCTGGAGAGCAAAGAATGTATTGGAGCTGGTACATTCAGATATCTGTGGGCCGATTAAACCATTATCCAATGGAGGTAACAGATATCTCATTACTTTCATTGATGATTTTAGCAGAAAAATATGGGTTTATTTTCTGAAAGAAAAGTCAGAAGCTTTTGATGTATTTAAGAGCTTTAAAGTGCTGGTTGAGAAGGAAAAAGGTTGTCCTATCAAGGTCCTCCGCACAGATCGTGGGGGTGAATATATGTCTACAGAGTTCAAGAAGTACTGTGCAGATAATGGAATCAGGAGGCAACTTACAGCAGGCTATACACCACAACAAAATGGTGTATCCGAACGGAAGAATCGCACTATTATGAACATGGTGCGAAGCCTGTTGAAGAGAAGTGGTATCCCTAAGTCATTTTGGCCTGAAGCTGTACATTGGAGTGTTCATATTTTGAAC